TGTACCCATTGTGGGAAGATGACCATCTCGGAGCTGCGGTCGAGACTCTCGTTCCTGCAAAGGGGTGGAGTCCCCGTGCCTCTGCCTCGATCCAATCCTCCTCAGAGTGTTGCTTCGGGCAGTGACATGTGAGACCTGAGAATTGCGGTGAGCACGCTTCCTTCGGGGAACCAACCTCCTAGAAACCCTCCCCTCTCACGCTCCGCAGCCAGTTCAGCCACCAAAGGAACGTGCTGGACCATCCTCGAGTCGTTTCATTTGGTGCTCCCCGCGACGATCAGATGTCGGTCGCTGCATTGGAGGGTGGGTCAGACTTCTCTGCGGACGACGGCTCGGAGCCGCTGCCTCCTTCGGGTGTGCCAGCGGTGCCCGAGTCGGACCCAGAGATAATGGCCATGCTTTCCCGGGCCGCCAACAGGATCGGGCTCAAGTGGAACCCTCCACCGTGTCCCGAGCCCTCGAGGCTGGACGATTGGTATCTTGGGCTGGTGCGTGCTGGTTCTCAGCAACCTACTCACGGGGACGTGGACGGCACCTTTTACTGCCAGAAACCGTCTCAGTGGCTCCTCCTCCCTCACCACCCTTGATGGCGGAGCAGCTAAGGGATACACACGTGTCCCGCCAGTGGAGCGGTCCGCTGCAATGCAGCTGTGTCCTAACTCCACTCGGCGCGGAGAACCGTATCTTCCTTCCCGGGCCTGTAGGTACTCGTCGGACCTATTCGACGAGGCTTACAAGGCCTGTGGGGAAGCTGCCTCTGCCATACACGCCATGGCGTTGCTGCAGGTCCATCAGGCCAAGGCACTGAAGGACCTGCACGAGGGTGGCCATAATCCACAAGTCCTCCAAGAACTTTGTGCCGCAACGGACCTCACGCCACGTGCGACGAAGGTCACCGCGCGGTCAGTGGGTCATGCGATGTCCACCTTGGTGGTCCAGGAACGCCATATCTCTGGCTGTGTCTGGTCGACATGAGGGAGACCGACAAGCTCCGGTTCCTTAACTCCCGTGTCCCAGACCGGCCTCTTTGGCGACGCGGTCGAGAACTTTGCCCAGCAGTTCTCGGCTGTACAAAAGCAGACAGAGGCTATCTAATACATCCTGCTGCGGCGGTCAGCTGCTGCCTCTACCCCACCGCCCGCGGCTCCTCAGTCTGCTCGTCGCCGGGGGCGTCCTCCTGCGTCTGCCCCTGCTCCCGCACCGCAGCAGCAGCCTCCACATAAACGGCGCCGTGGAGCCAGTCGCAGGCAGGCCGCCCCACCCGTCCAGGCCCCCGCCAAGAAGGGCGGCAAAGCCAGAGGTAAGCGGCCCCAGGACGGGCGACCCGGAGATGGATGGGACTGCTCTCCAGGAGACGGAGACCGCACCGCTCCTCCCCCAGAAGAGGGCCGGGTGGAAAAATCTTCTGTTTGTGTTCCGCCGCTGGCCTAAAAAAACCAGCGGTATCCAAATTTTAAATAAAAGAGCAGTTTCCTTCATCTCTGGGTCCGAAGAGGGCCCGGAGAGCAGTGGGGGAAGAGAATCCTCACCACTCTCATCCACCTCTTCTATCGCCAGCGGGCAGCAGTGTGCGGTCCGAGAATGCCACCAAGCCGCCTCCCACACCTCCTGCCCCGTGGAACCAGGTAAGTGTGGCACAGCACACTCAGACCCCGCTACAGGCCGCCTCCCAGAGAGAGCCTCCTGAGCCGCGTCCCTGTGTTCCACCTCGCTGCCCCACTCCGGGTACGCCTACGGTCCCTCTGGTCCCACTTGTACGGTCTCTGAGAGCCTGGTTAGCTCTTCCCAGTCCGTTTCACTGGCTCATTCGGACCATCAGGCTCGGCTATGTGATTCAGTTTGCCCAGCGTCCCCCCAAGTTTTATGCCATCCATTCCACTACAGTGAGAGCAGCCGATGCCCATGTTTTGCGTGTAGAGATCGCAGTCCTGCTGGCGAACGCGATAGAGCCGGTCCCTCCAGCCGATATGAGGTCAGGGCACTACAGTCCCTACTTCACTGTACCCAAGAAAGGTGGTGGGTTACGACCGATCTTGGACCTGCGAGTTTTGAATCAGAGCCTCCACAGGCTACCATTCAAAATGCTCACGCAGAAATGCATTTTCGAATGCATGTCTCGATTCTTCCTCGACACAGGCCGTTTCTGCGTTTTGCGTTCGAGGGTCGAGCATATCAGTACAAAGTCCTACCCTTCGGGCTGTCCGTGTCCCCCCGTGTCTTCAAGGAAGTCACAGAGGGGGCCCTTGTTCCCATGAGAGAACAGGGCGTTTGGATCCTCAACTATCTCGACGACTGGCTCATACTAGCACATACTCAAGATCAGCTATGCGAACACAGGGACCTCGTGCTCAGGCACCTCAGCCAGTTGGGTCTTCAAGTCAACTAGGAAAAGAGCAAACTCGCCCCCGTGCAGAGGATCTCTTTTCTCGGTATGGAGTTGGATTCGGTCGTACAGACAGCGCGCCTCACAGAGCAGTGCGCTCAGTCAGTGCTGAACTGCTTATACACGTTCAAAGGCAGGAAGGCGGTCCCACTGAAATTTTTTCAGAGGCTCCTGGGGCATATGGCAGCGGCAATAGCGGTAACCCCGCTCGGCTTGCTTCGTATGAGACCGCTTCAGCACTGACTTCACGGCCGAGTCCCGAGATGGGTGTGGCATCACGGCACTTACCGGGTGGCAATCACACCGGCCTGCCGCCAGACCTTTAGCCTGTGGTCAGACCCCTCGTTCCTTCGGGCAGGAGTCCCCTTGGAACAGGTCTCCAAGCATGCTGTGGTATTCACAGATGCCTCTCCCACCGGCTGGGGTGCCACGTACAACGGGCATGCAGTGTCAGGGGTGTGGACGGACCCCCAACTGCATTGGCACATCAATTGCCTCGAGTTGCTAGCAGTACATCTCGCTCTGAGACGCTTGAAAAGGCCGCTACAGGGCAGGGATGTGCTGGTCCGCACGGACAACACTGCGACCGTTGCGTACATTAACCGACAAGGTGGTCTACGCTCCCGTCGCATGTCACAACTTGCCCGCCATCTCCTCCTCTGGAGTTGAAAGCATCTGAGGTTGCTTCGAGCCATGTATGACCCCCCGGTGTGCTCAACCGTGTGGCCGACGAGCTAGCATGAGCTGTGCTCCCGGGAGAATGGCGACTCTACCCCCAGTTGGTTCAGCTGATCTGGAGAGAGTTCGGGAGGCTCAGGTAGACCTGTTTGCCGCCTCAGAGACCTCCCACTGCCTCTGCAAATATGTGTTTCCCCCAGTGAGCCTACTTGCGCAGACACTGTGCAAAGTCAGGGAGGACGAGGAGCAGGTCCTTCTGGTGGCTCCCTATTGGCCCACCCGGATTTGGTTCCCAGAACTCATGCTCCTTGTGACAGTCCCTCCCTGGCCTATTCCTCTGAGGAAGGATCTTCTGACTCAGAGACGGGGCACCCTATGGCATCCGCGTCCAGACCTCTGGAAACTCCATGTCTGGTCCCTGGACGGGACGCGGAGGTTCTCGGTGACTTACCCCCTGAGGTACTTAACACCATAACTTCAGCACGGGCGCCGTCCAGGAGACGTGTTTACGCCCTGAAGTGGAACCTATTCGTTGAGTGGTGTTCTTCTCGCCTAGAAGACCCCTGAAGATGTTCGATAGGGTCTGTGCTTTCCTTCTTGCAGCAAGGGTTGGAGCGAAGGCTGTCTCCCTCCACCCTCAAAGTACATGCTGCCGCTATTTCAGCTTATCACGACCACATAGATGGCAAAACAGTGGGGAAGCACGACCTGGTCGTCAGGTTTCTTAGGGGGGCGAGACGATTAAATCCTCGACCCCCCTCCATACCCTCTTGGGACCTTTCCCCGGTGCTTCGAGCACTTCAGGATGTTCCCTTTGAACCTCTGCAATCAGTAGACTTAAAGCTTCTTTCCATGAAGACTTTGCTACTGGTTGCACTGGCCTCTGTCAAGAGGGTAGGAGACCTGCACGTATTTTCGGTCGACGAATCGTGCCTAGAGTTTGGGCCGGGTGACAACCATGTGGTACTAAGATCCCGACCTGGCTATGTGGCCAAGGTTCCTACCACTCCCTTCAAAAACCAGGTAGTCTCGGTTACATATGGTAACCCTCGTTCCCTGAGGGAGGGAACGGAGACGTAGGTTCCGTCGCCACATCTGCTGCCGCCCGCCGGGGCAGCCAGCTTTTTCAGGCTTGGCTCCTCAGCAAAAAACTAGTGTGCAATCGCAAATACCCGTGCTGCGAGGCTGCACAGCTGCAAATGATTGCACGCCATTGTGCATTGGCTTGTTTTAGTTTCACTCGAAGTAGATTGGCCTCTTTAGCGAGATTCCTATTGGTCAGTCATGACCTATGTCTCCGTTCCCTCCCTCAGGGAACGAGGGTTACCATATGTAATCGAGACGTTATCAATACCAACAAAAACTCTTTCCACAAACACATAATAGACTTCTCATCAGCATTAACCTTCAGGTGTTTTTCAGAATTGATGTTGAAGTAAAGTATTTACCACACTGATCACAGATAAATGGTTTTGTTCATTAGATCGGTTTATTCTTCATAATTGCATGTACTATCAAAACACAATGTGGGAGCTACAATAAGTAAATCATATGAATATATCTAATTTAAGAAAGATCTACTCAGGACACGACCCAGCCTGACAGATTCTGCAAACTAACCAGTAGGAAAGAAACAGATCATTATTTACACGGCAAGAATTATTTTCTGAAGCTTCAAACACTCTTTTAGTTCCCTGATCAGACTACAAACAAGCCTTTCTAGTTCTATAAGCATTTCACCAAATTCTCAAAGTTAAAAAAGATGTATTTGGAACTTTAGTAAAGCTCTTTCCACAGGCACAACACACATGATCTCTCACTTCATTATGGGTTTTCTGGTGCAGTTTAAAACTGTCCGGTCTTGAAAAACTCTTTCCACAGAGAGAACACACATAAGGCTTCTCATCTGAATGAACTGTCAGGTGTTTTTTTTAGATCTGATGCTTGAGAAAAACTCTTTTCACACTGAGTGCATGGATGCGGTTTCTCTCCAGTGTGAATTCTGATGTGTATGTTAAGGTTTCCTATTTTGCTGAAAATCTTTCCACACTGAGTGCATGGATACGGTTTCTCTTCAGTGTGAATTCTCATGTGTGTGTTAAGGTCTCCTTTTTTTCTGAAACTCTTTCCACACTGAGTGCATGGATACGGTTTTTCTCCAGTGTGAATTCTGATGTGTATGTTAAGGTTTCCTATTTTGCTGAAAATCTTTCCACACTGAGTGCATGGATACGGTTTCTCTCCAGTGTGAATTCTCATGTGTGTGTTAAGGTCTCCTTTTTTGCTGAAACTCTTTCCACACTGAGTGCATGGATACGGTTTTTCTCCAGTGTGAATTCTAATGTGTATGTTAAGGTCTCCTTTTTTTCTGAAACTCTTTCCACACTGAGTGCATGGATATGGTTTCTCTCCAGTGTGAATTCTCATGTGTGTGTTAAGGTTTACTTTTTTGCTGAAACTCTTTCCACACTGAGTGCATGGATACGGTTTCTCTCCAGTGTGAATTCTCATGTGTGTGTTAAGGTTTACTTTTAGACTGAAGCTCTTTCCACACTGAGTGCATGGATATGGTTTCTCTCCAGTGTGAATTCTCATGTGTGTGTTAAGGTTTACTTTTAGACTGAAGCTCTTTCCACACTGAGTGCAGGTGTGCAGCTTTTTGGCTTTTGTTTCTTGAATTTTAAAGTCATGATGTTCCTCCTTAATTTCCTCCAGTTCTTGTCTTTCCTCTTTCACTTCCATTCGATCTAAAACAAACATAAAATTAGAATTAGTTCAAGTGAACCATGATTTAACCCCTTAAACCTGTAAAAGTAATATTCAAATTTCTAAGCAACCACTGAATGGATCAACAAAATAGGTATCATTTTAAAGCTTAGAATCTTTTCAGCTTTTTAGTGCATCCCTTAACAAGTGCTGAGTAGTTCCTCTAAAACAGAGTGTACTGCCCACAGGCGCCACCTAGCTGCGAAAAAATTCATAGTCATTTTTCAAAACTACTGCCTTGATCAACACTAAATAGGTGTCATTTGAAAGCTTAGAGTCTGAACTTTACAATGAATGTAGCCAATTTGATTCACTCCAAAGTAGTGCTGAGTTATTTGCTGATGGAAAGATTTTTTTTTTTCATAATCTATAAAATACTTTTTTGTACTATGTACTGCAATGTGTCAAAAACATCATTCAGCTCATGAAACATTCACAGATCTTTGAAAATGGCACGTAATCTTTCACAGCATATTATTACAATTAAAATTAGCCCAAAATGAACATAATCTATTGCGTTGATCACAAGATATTCCTCATGGAGGAACAATTTTAAAAATCAAGTCAAGGACTGAATAAAAAAGGCTGTCTTGGTTCCAAATAGGGCTGTCACTTTTGAGAAAAATCTAATTCGAACGGATATCGAATATCAAGCAATGTATTCGAATATGTTCGAATATCTACCAGCGCCCCCCACCCCCACCAAAAAAACCCCAAAAAAAACACCGTAACGGAGATCACACATTTATTAACAGTCTGACAGTCATAAACAGGACTCAGGCCTGTCTGAACTTTTTTTTTTTTACTTAATGTTTTAAACAGCAAGTTATCAACTTAATCTATATGAAGTGCCACTATGCATAGCCAATCAAAAAATTAGGCTACATATGGGAAAAAACTGAAGCGGAACAGCACGGCACAAACAATAACGTGACAACTTAAACAGCAGCAGGAGTAAGGCCTATGTAGCCTAGCCTAATTCATTTCTTAATATTGTTTGCTAGAAACACCAATTTATCAACTTGATCTGGATCAAGTGCGGCTCTCTTTTTATTGACGATGTTCCCCGCGGTGGAGAACACGCGCTCGGAGCGCGCACACGTGCCTGGCACACACAGGTATTTGCGCGTCTTTACATGAACCCTTATAATCGGATTGACGGCTCAATCGGACTAAAAAACCTTCATGTAAACACCTTAATCGATCCGATGGTTTACTCCTTTTGTAATCCGATCGAGAGAATATGTAAACACTTGATCGGATTGAAAACCGAAACTAAAAGGACTGCGCATGTGCAATGACGTATTACGCACGGAGCGAGCTGTTCTTCCTGTTGAATAAAGTGTCATATAAATGAGTGTTCCGTTATTGAAAAAATCTCATTTCACTCAGCGTCTGTGAAGTGGAGCAGAACAACATCCCACCAGTACTTGTTTCAGATTCTCATCCACAGACGACTGGTTTTGGGCGCGGGGTTTTACTCCGTGATCAATATAAGCAGCACGGCAAATCATGCTCATCGTCTCCAAATCATGACCAGAAACGGATAAATATTAAGTCTGCTGCTTAAAACAAATAAAGAACCAATAGAGGAGAATAGTTATGCGCGAACAGCGGCATATTCGTGCAGTGTGCGCATGTCAAAAAATCAATTCCGATTGGAATCTTGTGACATATAACCACATTACTTTATGTATCGTTCATGTAAACACCGTGTTCGGACTCATCAATCGGATTGTCCATTTCCAGACACTACTTTTTAGATGAGTTGGGGTAGAAATTGTCCGCTCAGGCTGGGCGTTCTGTTATCTTCCATTTTCAAAACAGGGCGGCTATTGGCTATTATTCGCTTGATTTGGTCATGAGCTTACGCTACAATACGTTTAGAGTGCCCGCTACTGGATGAGATGGCAAACAATAAAATAAAAAACAAACGCGCTAAACATGGCACTTTAAAAACCGGTTAGTTTATTTATAGTTCGATTACGGATATTTCACGTCATGTTCGAATGCATATTCGAATAGCGAATAAAAAGTGACAGCCCTAGTTCCAAATACTGTAACTTTTGTTTACTTTATGCAAGCACCAGAAAATGTGATCCACATGCAGCTCACACTTCTATAGGACTTAACCAAAAACAAATTCCCCCTACTCTGTCATTCTCTTGTTAATATGATCAAAATGAGTTTGATAACTGTTATAGCCTAACAAGATTATGATTAAAAGTATATAAAAGTTTAAAGATTAAAATTATATAAGCATTTATATAGAATTTTTCATTCATATACTGCTTATTAATTCACAGCTAACAAAGCAATGAAGAATCAAGAATGGACACCAACCTATTTGTTCCTCAGTATCTTCATGTTTTATTCTGGATGGTTCTGGATCAGTCATGTCTTCAATCTCCTTTTTAATAAACTCCATCTTTAACAGTCACACAGATTTCAGCTGCTACTCCTGGAGTTTGTCCTTCTCTTGTAGGATGATGGGAATATTCCCAGTATTTATTGGTGAATTGTTGTGGGAGGGGCTTCACTGCAGGTGTGAACTGTGATCACTGTGTGATACTGACGCCCACAGGACCAGATCTGGGAAAATAAAAGATAAGTTACTGAATTCATACTGGATTACTTTAACAGTAAACACACACATATGGTGCTTCAAATATATTTAGCTCAAATATAGAGCATTTTGAGTTACATATTAGTAGTGTACAAAACAGCTCTAGATTGCTAACTTTTACGTAACCCAGAATATAATAAGGATGAAACAGGGCAGAGGTTATATTATTATTATATTATATATTAGATGACAGAAATCCACTTAATAATTGTAGTATAAGTAACAATTGTTTTAAAAATGTAATTCCTCATGTTGCTTCGGTACACTGTAAAAAATGATCGTGATTTTAACGGTAAAAATGCTACAGTGAAAAACTGTTAATTGGTTAACAGAAAGTTTCCTTACTATATACGGTAAATAACTGTGATATATATATATAAATAATGGTACATTTAATGTAATTTTACTGTAAAATACCGTTAAATTTACAGTTTTTGGAAGTGAAAAAGAACAAGTCATTGTATAATTTACAGAGAAAAAATGTAAATTGACATTCCCACAATTCTTTGCGTGACACTTCACATTTAATGTTTTTTTTTTTTAAATAACTGTTTCTTCATAATTTTCTTAGTGTTACCATGATGGTGTTTAATGTTTGTGTGAATGACACTGTGCAGCTTCTATATATTAGTATTAACTTTCTTGTGGAAGAGCTGCTTATGATGAGCTTTCATAGATCATTTGATTCTCATTGCTGCTGTGATTGTTGTTGGCTGTCAGTGTATTACAATGGAACAAAACAGATATTAAAACTTCAAAAGGTCAGTAAATTAACATTATATCAAGTAATGAAATACGGTTTATATATATATATATATATATATATATATATATATATATATATATATATATATATATATATATATATATCACAGTTATTTACCTTATATAGTAAGGACCAATTAACAGTTGACCAATTAACAGTTTTTCACTGTAGCATTTTTACAGTCTTTTACCGTTAAAATCACGATCATTTTTTACAGTGTACCGAAGCAACATGAGGAATTACATTTTTAAAACAATTGTTACTTATACTACAATTATTAAGTGGATTTCTGTCATCTAATATATAATATAATAATAATATAACCTCTGCCCTGTTTCATCCTTATTATATTCTGGGTTACGTAAAAGTTAGCAATCTAGAGCTGTTTTGTACACTACTAATATGTAACTCAAAATGCTCTATATTTGAGCTAAATATATTTGAAGCACCATATGTGTGTGTTTACTGTTAAAGTAATTGTAACCCATCTACAGGTGAACACACAGTTCTAGGTTCATTCATTCAAGAGGTTCAGACATGCAACACAAATGAATGGACGGACTCCCTGTAACAGTTTCAATGTAACTTTAGTAAGGAAATAATATTGTACAGAGTCATAAAAAGAATGTAGCCGGCGTACAAATAAAATGTAATAAAACCCCTTTTTGAAACAAATATTCGTGTGTGCGTTTATCAGTGTATGTGTATTGTTTACACCAGTTCTGCAGTATTTCAAAGGTAATCGAGCATCAAAACTACCTCGCATTGGGTCTCATTCACGAAACATTCGTAAATATATGAGTAAATATGCGAGTGATCTGCGCGTAAAGAAACCTTCCCGAAAACTCTTCTCCTGATTCACAAATACTTCGTAAACGTCAGATGTGATAGTGAAATGTGTGTGTGTGTTAATGAATTCCAATCAGTCGTAAATGGGATGTGCGTGCACGTTCATTCTTAATTACCATAAATCCCGCCCATTAAATCCGACTGACAACTATATATGGGCATCATATTATGACATGAATGCGAATAAAAAAAAAAAATTCTCAGATGCAGAAATTGAAGTTTTATTATCAGAAGTTCATTCAAAACGCCACATTTTATTTTCAAGCGTACATAGTGGCGTATCGGGCCCTAAAAAAAAGGAAGCTTGGCAGCATATTACAGATGCAGTTAATGGAGTTTCATCTGTTAATCGAACATTCCCAGAAGTCAGAAGAAAATGGTTTGACATTAAGCTCGATAGCAAAAAACGAATTAGTTCACTTCGGAAAAATAGAATTCAAACTGGAGAAGGACCACCATCGCAGATGCTATTACTGGCTCTCATAATAAGAAAAACCGTATGTAATTACTATATATAATATTTTTTTCAAAATGCTGTGCAAATATGTACCCGATTAAGGTGAATTAAAATGCAGCCTTATTAATGAGCAAAACGTTCGGGTGTTAAGCGCACTATTTGCGCGTGGCTGGGAGCAGGTGTAGATTTCTTGTGTACCAACTAACATTTGGAAAATACGAACATTTTAATGAATCCGAAAAATTACGCCAGAACCACTTTACACACGATTTACACAAAAATTCGTTCTGCTCGTGTTTCATGAATGAGACCCAATGTCTGTAGATTCCTTGTTGGTAACAGTCCTACCAGGTAATGTTTCAGAATTTAAAGATCAAGCTCGCGGAGACTCCAGAAGATCCAGTTGGGTGGCTCGCCATCGACGGTTTCACACTCCTTACAGATTAACGAACAGAAATCCTGATGAAAAGACCCGACCTGCATTTACAAAACAGGCGACTGTAAAAAATTTCTTTAAACATTCACATCAATTAGGCCTAAAGATAATAATTTATATGAAAATAACTTCCATATGTTACATATAGCATATGAACACTGCATGTGGAAACATCAATGAAATACTGATGCTTTTTAATTGTTTGATCTGATTAATTAAACTACATCATTCCGACTGCACAGTACAGAAGGAATAAGAGAAGAAGAAAAAAACACCCAATGTGTATTATTTCAATATACACTTGCAAAAAATATCAAATGTATTTTACATCCTTATTTAGAACATTTGGCCTGCATAAACACATACTTAAATTCAAATATTACAAATAGTGAACATTACACAACTTCATGTAGAACAAGTTGATATAAAACAAAACATTTCACTGTATGTTGAGTAGGCCTAATCATTGAGTTATTGTAACTTAAATGTCAACAACTGTGATGCAACAGATTGCATTATGCAGTAAGATAGCACATGGTTTAGCAAATGATGCTAATCAGATCAAAATCACTCAGTATGACAAAAAATAAATAAATCAAACTCACCAAGATACACAGGAACCCGATCAATAATAGATAATTAATCAAATATAAACAATCGATGCAACTTCACACGATCTTCCAAGCATATAACTTCTCCTGGATCAGCAGTAAGATGTGCTCTCTCTCTCTCTCTCTCTCTCTCTCTCTCTCTCTCTCTCTCTCTCTCTCTCTCTCTCTCTCTCTCTCTCTCTCTCTCTCTCTCTCTCTCTCTCTCTACGTGGTGCGATCTGTTTTTTTGTATATGGATCGGCACGGAGCCGATTCAACCAATCAACAATGCAGCAAGGCGGGACAAAGACAATACAGCATTTTGATTGGCTAAGGGGAGAGAAAGTGATTAATCATGGTTTTTTTGCAACTGGGTTACATTATCCACATCCAGTATCAATTCCGTAGTTTTTCTTTGATTTTCCCAGATCTGGTCCTGTGGGCGTCAGTATCACACAGTGATCACAGTTCACACCTGCAGTGAAGCCCCTCCCACAACAATTCACCAATAAATACTGGGACTATTCCCATCATCCTACAAGAGGAGGACAAACTCCAGGAGTAGCAGCTGAAATCTGTGTGACTGTTAAAGATGGAGTTATTAAAGAGGAGATTGAAGACATGAGTGATCCAGAACCATCCAGAATAAAACATGAAGATACTGAGGAACAAATAGGTTGGTGTCCATTCTTGATTCTTCATTGCTTTGTTTAATAAGCAGTATATGAATGAAAAAAATTCTATATAAATGCTTATATAATTTTAATCTTTAAACTTTTATATACTTTTAATCATAATCTTGTAGGCTATAACAGTTATCAAACTCATTTTGGTCAAGACTCAAGACTCATAACTCCAAAACTATAGCAAGCAGAGACAAAAGGTAGGCATTGTTTGATAGAACATTTTTATATATATATATTTTTTGAAAATATACATTACATTACATTTGGACATTATGATGCTGATAAAAGACAAAATATATATCAATATATAAATTTTAATTTTTTTTATATCTTTCTTTAACATGGAATAATTCAGGAAGGAAACAAGGTAGGGGATTTTGTTTTTGGTTAAGTCCTATAAAAGTGTGAGCTGCATGTGGATCACATTTTCTGGTGCTTGCATAAAGTAAACAAAAGTTACAGTATTTGGAACCAAGATAGCCTTTTTTGTTCAGTCCTTGACTTGATTTTTAAATTTGTTCCTCCATGAGGAACTGTGGAACAAAGATCTGTGAATGTTTCATGAGCTGTGTGATGTTTTTGACACATTGCAGTAAAAAAAAGTATTTAATAGATTATGAAAAAAAAAAAAAAATCATCAGCAAATAGCTCAGCACTACTTTGGAATTAATCAAATTAGCTACATTCATTGTAAAGTTCAAACTCTAAGCTTTCAAATGACACCTATTTTGTGTTGGATCAAGGCAGTAGTTTTGAAAAATATGACTATGAATTTTTTCGCAGCTAGGTGGCGCCCGTGGGCAGTACACTCTGTTTTAGAGGAACTACTCAGCACTTGTTAAGGGATGCATTAAAAAGCTGAAAAGATTCTAAGCTTTAAAATGATAGGCCTACCCAGAGCCAGGTTGGATAGTTGCGACACATTTTGATGTCGCCGCGACGGCTGTCACGTGGTTCATTGTAAGGTGGCGCTACTCTAGCTGTAGCGACAAGCAGCAGGTGTGTTTGTTTGACTGCGTTTTGTTTGTCAGAAGTGCTTTAAGTTTCCTGTTTTGATTCGCTGTTTGATGAAAATGGACTAGATACTATTGTTCATTCAAGCAGTCGCCATGGAGATATACTACGCTGTCATCTTATGGACTTTATGGATTTACTATGTCCAAGGCGAACGCAGCCAGCAACGTGAGCCGGTAAGGACATATTCTCGAGAATGTT